AATACATGGAAAAAGAAAATGAAGGTCTTGTTATCTCACAACAAGGTTGGGATCGCACTTGAAAAGGATGAGTCCAAATGGCCAGAAGAAAAGAAAAAGAAAAAGGCAGAAGTGGATGAAGAAGCATACAATTTGATCATTATGAACATGTCAAACACCGTGCTGCGAAAGGTGGATGGTCTGGAATCTCCAATTCCACTCTGGGGTAAACTTGAGTCTCTATATGCTCTTAAATCTGCCCCTAATTTAGCTTTCTTGAAAGGTGCTTTATTTTCTTATAAAATAAACATAGCTAAATCCCTAGATGACAATCTTGATGAATTCTTAAAAATGACCCTAACCCTAAAAGGTACTGACCAAGAACTAGGAGATTCAAGCCTTGCTATGATTCTGTTGAATTCCCTACCTGAAGAATATTTAGTGGTTAAGAATGCACTCCAGTATAATGGGACAGTACCTAATGTGGACCTAATTGTTTCTGGACTAAAATCTAGGGAATTAGAATTAAAGATCCAGAAGCGTAATGGTAGCAACTTGTTTGTGAAAGGGAAATTTGAGGTTGGGCAATCTAGCAAAGATAATGGAAAAACCCATCAGAGAAATGTAGGCTTTAAAAACAAGAAGAATAGTAAAGGAAATGGTAGAACTAAGGGGGAATCTAGGAAATGTTTCTTCTGTAACAAGGTAGGACACCTAAAGAAAAATTGCTATGATTGGATTAAAAATAACAAACAGAATAGTACAGAGACAAACATAGCCAGCTCTAATAGTAACCTAGAAATATCAGAAGCACTTACCATTTCTAATACATCTAGAGGCAGTGAATGGGTACTAGACTCAGGTTGTAGCTTCCATATGAGCCCTAACAAAGACTGGTTTCAAAGACTTAAAATTANGCATTGATGCTCTGGAAATTTAATAGTAAATCATAATGTGAATGAGTACCGATTCAAATTTAATTGGTGGGGGCCAAGTTTAAATCACAATCAGTGGCTTATGCTTCTCCGATTCAATGCCCCAACCCCCATTTTTTCGGCATCATATTCTTCTCCATTTTCCTTTTTTATTCCGTTCGAAATATGTTCTTAGATGAGGTTGCTTGGTTTAGCTCAAGAAAATAATATGATTCGATCTCAAAGGATGGATCTTCTTTCGCTTCAAAATAAATATGACATGCACTTTGGACTCACAATAATCCTACTTAAGAATAGTTTCTTATCCAAGCGGGCTCAAGGGACCCTCAAAAAAAGTTGAAAAGACCGAAATTTATTATAAACAAAAAAATTATTTATTTAGTAATATATGAGATTGAAAATTTTGAATTTCTATTAGACATGATTATTTGGTATGAAATATTATTTGTTGTTAATATGGTTAGTAAATATTTACAATATAAAAATATGGACATTGTTGTTATAATAGATCAGTTGAAAAGTCTTGTTTCATTTTTTTGAAAAATTTAGAGAAAATGAGTTTACATCTTTTATGATTTTGTCTAAAGAGATTGCTGAATAAATGAATATAGAACCAAAATTTCGTGAGAAATGTACAATAAAGAGAAAAAAAAAAAAACAATTTGATGAGAATGAAAATGAAGAGATGCAATTGTGTGCTGAGGAATCTTTTAGAATATATTATTTTATATATTTAGTTAATCATGCCATTTCCTCACTTCAAAGTATGTTTGAATAATTTGAAATATATAGTGATAATTTTGGTTTCCTTTATAATATAGAAAAATTAAAATTGCTTGATGATGATAATTTGAAGAAAAATTATTTAAATCTTGAATCTTTTAAAACATGACATGCTCTCTAATATTAATGGTTTAAATTTATATTCAGAATTAAAAATTTTAAAAGAAATTATAAATGTGGAAATTAAAACACCACTTGAGATACTAGATTTTATAAAAAAAAGAGAATTCTTTTCCAAATGTATGGATAGCTTATAGAATACTATTAATTATTCATGTTACTATAGCTTCAACAGAAAGAATCAAAATTAAAGTTAAAAAAAATCTTATTTGCGTTTAACAATATCATAAGAAAGATTAAATAATTTGACTATATTATCAATTAAAAAAAATTTGGTTTCTAAACTTGAGTACAAAAATTTAATTAGTGATTTTGCATCTCAAAAAAAAAAAAAAAAAAATATATATATATATATATAAATAATTTTTTTAATATATGCTTATATTATTAGAATACCCTTAAAGTAACTCTTGCTTAAAGTTATAAATATTCCAAAGTAACTTTTGTTTAAGGTTGCTACAAGTGGATCCTTTTATATTAACCTATTCTTATATCTTAACGTGATCTAGAAGAGTTCTTTGAATTATGTCATTAGCATGAGGTTGCTTTGATTAGCTCAAGAAAATAATATGATTCGATCTCAAAGGATGGATCTTCTTTCACTTTAAAACAAAGATGACATGCACTTTAGACTCACAATAGTCCCACGCGGGCTCAATGAGGCCCAAAAAAAAGCTTAGGGTGTGTTTGGTTAAATATTTCTATCCATATTTTCAATCTTATTCTCCAAATATTGTTTGACACATTATTCTATAAATATTACTATATTTTTTAATTACTTTTAGACCTTTTAAGTTTATTAATTTCACTAAATACCCCCAGAAAAAAGTTTAAAAGTTAACAAAAACACCCCCATCAACCCATACTTGCCAGATTCCGGAACCACCATCGATGGTAGCCGGAATCTGTACAACGGCCTACACCACGACCATAATTGGCCGATAGTTCACCGAGCTGGCCTTTTCCGGCCAGATCTGGTCGTCAGTGACGGCCAAAGATGGACTTCTTTGGTCTTTTTTGGCCATCGACGACAACATTTGGCCGTAGATCTGGCCTTTTCTGACCAGATCCATGATGGATCTGACAGGAAAAATGCCATAGCAATGCGTTACAACACAGATCCGATCGGTCTATATCGTAACGAAATTTTTCGGCTAGATTCCGACGGTGGTGGCCGGAATATGGCACTACGGGTGGTGGGGGTGTTTTTGTTATTTTATACATTATGGTGTTTAATTAAATTAGCAAACTTAGGGGCTTTTTCATAAATTTTTAAATTTTACCTCGTAATACTCCCCTATCCAACTACCAAATATTATTCCCAAAATCCTATCCAAAATAATGAACAAACGCACCCTTAAAAGACCCAAATTTATTATAAACAAAAAAATTATTTCTTTAGTAATATATGAGATTGAAAAATTTGAATTTCTATTAGATATGATTATTTGATATGAAATATTATTTGTTGTTAATATAGTCAGTAAATATTTACAATATAAAAATATGGAAAGGTCTTGTTTCATTTTTTTTTTTAAAAATTTAGAGAAAATGGGTTTATATCTTCTATGATTTTGTCTAAAGAGATTGCAGAGCAAATAAATATAGAACCAAAATTTCGTGAAAAATATACAATAAAGAGAAAAAAAAAAACAATTCGATGAGAATGAAAATGAAGAGATGAAATTGTCTGTTGAAGATTCTTTTAGAATATATTATTTCACGTATTTAGTTAATCATGCCATTTCCTCACTTCAAAGTAGGTTTGAATAATCCGAAATAGAAAAATTAAAATTGCTTGATGATGATAATTTGAAGAAAAATTGTTTAAATCCTTAAAACTTTTTAAACATGACATGCTCCCGAATATTGATGGTTTAAATTTATATTCAGAATTAAAATTTTTAAAAGAAATTATAAACGTAGAAATTAAAACACCACTTGAGATACTAGATTTTATAAAAAAAGAGAATTATTTTCCAAATGCATAGATAGCTTATAAAATACTATTAACTATTTCTGTTACTATAGCTTCAACAGAAAGAATCAAAATTAAAGTTAAAAAAATCTTATTTGCGTTCAATAATGTCACAAGAAAGATGAAGTAATTTGACTATATTATCAATTAAAAAAAATTTGGTTTTTAAATTTGAATACAAAAATTTAATTAATCATTTTGCATCTCAAAAGACGAAGAAAAATAAATTTGAAATAATTTTTTTAATATATGCTTATATTGTTAGAAAACCTTTAAAGTAACTCTTGCTTAGAGTCACAAATGTTTTTGAAACGACACCCAAAGTAACTTTTGCTTAGCGTCATAGGGTGCGTTTGACTTATTATTTTTATCCATATTCCGAATCCTATTCTTCAAATGTTGTTTGACACATTATTCTCAAAATATTAGTCTATTTTTTAATTACTTTTAGACCACATAAGTTTATTAATTTCATTAAATACCCTCCAGAAAAAAGTTTAAAAACTAACAAAAACACCCCCACCTACCAATACTTGCCAAATTCTGACAACCACCGTCGGTGGTAGCCGGAATCTGTCACAATAGTCACACAACTACCAAAAATAGCTGATAATGGCCAGATCTGGCCGTCGCAAAGAAATGACCGTCATTGATTGTCAACGACGACTATATCTCAACGGCCAAAGATGACCTTTTCCGATAGTCGAAGGCCACATCCGACCTTAGATCTGGCATTTTCCGGCTAGATCTAAGGCTGGATATGGTCAGAAAAGACCATATCGATCGAATACCCACCAGATCCGACCGGTATGTGTGGTTATCCAATTTTCCGGCCAGATTTCGATGGTGGTGACCGGAATCTAGTACTACGGATGGTAGGAGTGTTTTTGTTAGTTTACAATGTTTTAATATATTGGGGTGTTTATTAAATTAGCAAACTTTGGGGGTTTTTTCATAAATTTTTAAATTTTATCTCGTAATACTCCCCTATCCAGCTACAATAAATGTTCTTAAGACGCTGCTACTAGTGGATCCTTTTTGTATTAACCTATTCTTATGTCTTAACGTGATCTAGAAGAATTCTTTGAATTATGCAATTAGCATAAGCAAAATGCGCTAAGAATGTATTGATACGCAAAAGCCGAGGAATGACATGCACTTTTACTTTGGATTCACTCTCGCTTACTATAAATTCTTCATGTCTTCGGTCTTCCATTCTCAATTCGTCGCCTTCTCTCTCCAACCAGAAATCAGTCCTCCTGGTAACACTCTTTTATCTTATTCATCTCATTCCTTTTCTTGTATTATCATTGGCACCACTGACTCATCACCAACTAACTCTTCATGTCGGTTTTTCTCCGTTCACTTTCATCTCCTACAATTCGTACGTACGTTTGCTCAAATTCAGTTGCAATGTCGTCGCTTCCAAGCCTCCAAAATTCTCACTCTATATCTTACCTCTCGCAACGAGAAGCTGCCGAGATTGACGAGACTCTCATGGGCCCTTTTCGCTTTAGCGTTGATCATCTTATGGTGACTTAATTTATATTCACTGTTCATGAATTCTCCTTTACTATAGCTTGCTGAATAACTTCAATTATATGACTATAAAAATCATTCTTATTGTAATTGTAGGCATTGGCTGGTTTGAGCATCGCAACATCCATAGCTGAGGTAACTACTCGTTTTTTTTTTTTTTAAAATTATTATAGCTGATTTTGCGTTACGATGTCATGTTTACGTGGACAAATTTTTTGACAGGTTTATAAACCAAGTGAGTTTAATCGCGTTCTTGCAATTTGCGGCCCAGGGAACAATGGAGGTGATGGTTTGGTAGCTGCTCAATATTTGCATCACTTTGGATACAAACCTTTTGTTTGTTATCCAGAGCGTACGCCAGAGCCACTTTATACTGGTCTAGTTACACAGGTATGGTGTGATGGTGGAGTGGGTTAATATAGTTTGTATGGTTTCTGATTTGATATAGTAAATTTGTAGCTTGAAGCACTATCAGTACCTCTCATGTCTGTGGAAGATTTGCCTTTGGACTTGTACAAGGACTATGATATTCTTGTAGATGCAATGTTCGGCTTCTCTTTTGATGGTAATTTTTCTAAGTCTCTGTTCTTATTGATGAACAAAGCATTCCTCTAAAATTAATGATACCATTAGTCTAGTGCCCTTTTATATTGAGGTTATCCATACAGATATCTGATAACAGAATATGAGAGATAGATGAGATAGGCAGGTGAGAAGATGTAAAACTATTGGTAAGGTGGTTTTGAAGACTGACTTTACCTTTTACTCGAGTCTTTTTAAATAACCATAGTATTTCATTTTATGGTTACATCTCTTTCAACATTCATCTGTGCATATACGCACACACGCATGTATATGGTATAAAATTATCTCTTAGTACCACCAGGAAAACTCAACTCTATAAAGTACAACTACTTGAATTCCTTTAAACAGTTTACATTCAATAGAGCAGAAGTTTTGATTTTACACGACATGGGGTTTTAGTGGATCATAGCAGTATTTTTGGATGTTAATGATATGGTTTTGTGTAGTATTTTTTTCCCCCAATGTTTTTCATATCTTTGTGGACAACTGATCTACTTTATTCATGGTGCAAGTTTATTAATATATCTTCTCAGTTTTGTGTAGAAAAAAAAAGAGTAAAATATGAGTACCAATAAATGAATTGCATCAAATTAAGAAGGATTTAGTGGCTATATTGATTAGGGCCATGTTTCTTATCTAGAAACACCTCATATGATATTTAGTATCATTTAACTTCAACTTGTTACAATCCTTAAGGCACCGCGAGGCCACCTTTTGATGATCTAATTCAGAGACTGGTTCGTTTACATAGTTATGATCAAACAGTACAAAAGCAACCAGTTATTGTTTCTATAGATATTCCGTCTGGATGGCATGTTGAAGAAGGAGATACTGGTGGTGAAGGCATTAAACCCGACATGTTGGTACGTCTGCAATGAAGTCTTAGTTGATTTTCTAGCCTCAATATTTTAGAATGCAGTTAAATTTATCAGCTAGCCTCAGAAGAATGCAGTTTTAATTTATAAGCTAGCCTCAGAACTTTAGAAGAATGCAGTTTTAATTTTAGGGTATACCCAGTACGTAATTGAATTTTTATTTTTCACAAGCTGTCTTATTAATGCAGCTTTTGGCGTTTTCTAGGTTTCTTTAATTGCCCCAAAGTTGTGTGCAAAGAAATTTAGTGGCCCACACCACTTTCTAAGTGGTAGATTTGTCCCTCCAGTTATTGCAGATAAATATAAGCTTCAGCTTCCACCATACCCTGGCACTTCTACGTGTGTGCGAATTGGAAAGCCTCCCCAAATTGATATATCAACTCTGAGAGGAAATTATATTTCTCCAGAGTTACTTGAGGAGCAGGTGGAATCTGATCCCATTGATCAGGTATGAGTTCAAGTGAAATAGTGGAGCATGTCATTCATTTCATATCAATATCTTAAACCTTGGCACATTAGTTCAATACTTACTGCTGCCTTGAGGGTTGAGAAAAATTTTCTTAGCCATTTTTAGAATAACTTTCAAAACTACTTATCATAAGTCAATCTGTCATTTTGCAGTTTTGGAAATGGTTTCGTGTTGCAGTGGCTGCCGGCTTGAAGCTACCAAATGCTATGGCCTTGTCAACTGCTAGCAAGGACGGAAAAATGTAACTTTCTCTTCTTTCAATGGGGTTTTTTTT